GGTGTTGACAAGTGGTACACAGAGGGGGTGTTGGTGGTAACAGAGGTCTCGATTCTTTGACGGCAGGATGTTCAACTTAGAAACTATTCATCGTCTTTCTCTGTTTTTGCGCGCAACAGTAGTAGGGTCTTGAGAAGAAGCGAAGAGTTTGAATGTTTTGTAATTTGTTTCTTTCTTTTTTTCTTTGTTTCTTTTTCATTATAATGTGTTACTATGACGGAGACACACCTAGCAACGGGTAATGCTCACAGCCAATCAATGGCTATCTCACCTGTTGAATTCCCAGTGCAACACGACAGAAAACAAAGAACAGGAAACATTTTTTTTTAAATCCAGCAAAAGCAAGAAAATGTATCCAAATACAAATAAATAAATTTTGATAGAAATAAATAAACAAATCACCGAAAACATTTCTGTTTGTTTTTTTTATTTGCTTGTTATCTTATTCATTAGTTTCTTTATTTTGTATTAAGAAGTATAGAAATGAAAATATATTTGTACATTTGCCTTCTGAAGAAAAAAGAAAACATTATTTTAAAAAAATCTTTCATACAGCCATTTGCAAAAGACCAATAACGCGCCATCTTTATAATTACAACTGCTAAAATGGCTAACAGCTTATTCGTAATACTATTAACAATAACATGTTTTTACAATTATAAAATAAATATATTCCTCTGTAAAAAAAAAAAGGAAAAGATTGCTCAGTGTTAGATATACTTATACCCAAACTCTATTGAAAATGCTACAGAACGAGGATGGAAATTTTTAAAATTAAAGAATATAAATGAGGAATCGACAAAAAAAATTTCAAATAAATAAAAATTTTAAAATCCAAAATGTTCAAAAATAAAATTAATAAAAAGTTAAAAAATAAAAAATAAAAAGTTAAAAATCAAAAAAATTTTCAAAAATAAAATAATTAAAAATTTCAAAATGTACTTCAAAGTTAAAATGAATACAAAGTTCAAAAATGAAAAAAAAAGGAAAAATATAAAAAAAAAATAAAATGCTGAAAATCTTGATTATTTTCAGAATAATAAGAGGGCTTCCAAGTTCTTGACAAAAATAAAAATTTCAAACAAAGCATAAATGACAGTCTTTTTTAATATATTATATTTCTTATTACATTTTGGTGCATGTTTCGAAACTTCTATTTCCTTCATCAGCCAACGATATTCACTGATTCAATTTGTAAGTCCAAATGAAAAAGCACAGTACAGATTCTAACGAACTAATTGCAAATTCTTAGCAAAGAAGATAATTAAGCAATTCAAATTTCTTAAGAAGAAAAAGAAGATGATGATGATGATGATGATGATGAAAAGAAATAGAACGTGATGATGATGAATTAGTGCAACATATCTTACTTGTAATTCTAAAAAATTATATTTATAAAATCTCATATATTATTTAAGAGATCCTTCGTAATTATCGTCCGTTACAAATCTGCATTGCATTGCCTTGATGGTTGGTAAAATAATGACGTAATAATGTCGTTTTTGACGTATTTTAACGTCAAAAAACGACATTATTCCGTCATTATTTTTGCACCAACCTAATATTTGAACTTAACATCTAAATCAATGTAAATCTTTGACTGATGAGAGGAATAGAAGTCCTGAAACATGTAAACATTTTTCCATCACAGTGTAAAAATGGCACACTCAGAAAAATGCAGGCTCCGCTCGATGTTGTAGCCACTTAATATATTTCCTGTATTCTGAGGTAGACAATTGAAATTTACTCAGGCATGAAAAATGTCGAATTGGCGATAAAATCACAATATCCGATTTCGATAGGAAAAATCTTCATTATGCAATCATGTATTGTGAATTTTTTTTGTATATCTTACTACTTTTTTTATAAACTAGGCTAGATAGATAGATAGATAGATAGATAGATAGATAGATATGAAAAGATGAAGAGATAGAAGAGATAGATAGATAGATAGATAGATAGATAGATAGATAGATAGATAGATATGATATGAAAAAGAAAGAGATAGATAGATAGATAGATAGATAGATAATAGATAATAGATAGATAGATATGAAAAGGCGAAGAGATAGATAGATAGATAGATAGATAGATAGATAGATAGATATGAAAAGACGAAGAGATAGATAGATAGATAGATAGATAGATAGATAGATAGATAGATATGAAAAGGCGAAGAGATAGATAGATAGATAGATAGATAGATAGATAGATAGATAGATAGATATGAAAAGACGAATATATATATATATAGATAGATAGATAGATAGATAGATAGATAGATATCATTAAAAGCATTTTCGCACAAATGCAGACGCTCTCGTGTTGGTACATATTTGTTTAAACACGTATATGATTGAATAAAACGTAAAATATTTACAGAAAATAAATTTCTACAAGAGAAAAAGAAAAATAGCAGGAATGATCTTCTTATGCATCAACAGACACATTATCCCTGTTTTTTTCCCAGGATGCAATCGTGTACAACAGATCGATGGCTTGGCACTGATCGGAGATCAATTGTTTGTTTTGTAATCATTTGTCATTTGTCGATTTTTGCTTTCATTCCGCCAACTGATTTGAATTTACAGATTTGCTCTGGGAATTTTACCATTTCCCAAGCATTGAAGGTAAGAAGAACGAGGAAACGATAGGCGAGTAGTTTTGAATGAAGCCAAATAAAGCGACTGAAGAAATAAGAAAATGGAAATGGGGGAAGCGGGAAGTACAAAGATATGGAAAAGAGACGAAAATCATGGACAAAAGAAACGGGAAAAGAAAAACAAAAAGAAACAGGAAAAGAAAAAAAGAAACAGGAAAAGAAAAAAAGAAACAGGAAAAGAAACAAAAAAAGAAACAGGAAAAGAAAAAAAGAAACAGGAAAAGAAAAAAAGAAACAGGAAAAGAAAAAAGAAACAAAAAAGAAAAAAAAAGAAAACAGGAAAAAAAAAAAAAGAAACAGGAAAAAAAAAAAAAAACAGGAAAAGAAAAAAGAAAAGAAAAAAAAGAAAAAAAAAAACAGGAAAAGAAAAAAAGAAACAGGAAAAGAAAAAAAGAAACAGGAAAAGAAAAAGAAACAAAAAAGAAAAAAGAAACAGGAAAAGAAAAAAAGAAACAGGAAAAGAAAAAGAAAACAGGAAAAAAAAAAGAAACAAAAAAGAAAAAAGAAACAGGAAAAGAAAAAGAAACAAAAAAAGAAAAAAGAAACAGGAAAAGAAAAAAGAAACAGGAAAAGAAAAAGAAGCAGTAAAAGAAAAAGAAAGAAACAGAAAAAGATAAAAGAGAAGGCAACAGAAAAACAAAAATAGTAGGTAATGGGAAAAGAAAAAACAGGTTAAGAAAAAACAAGGAAATAGGAAAGAAAAAGTGAAGAAAACAGGAAGAGAATATAAAAAGAAAAGAGAAATGCAATGGAAACAGGAGAAGATTTTTCTTGTATCGTTTAAAATGCATTTCTCCTGAATGAAACAGGAAAAGAAAAATCAAAGGAAATGAGAAAAGAAAAAAGAAAAGAAAAAGGAAAAGAAAAAAAGAAGGAAAAAAATATAAGGAACCAGGAAAAGAAAAAAAGAGAATGTAATAGAAAAAGAAAAGAGAAAGAAACAGGAAAGGAAGAAAGAAAAGGAAACAGGGAAAGAAAAAGAGAAAAGAAAAAAGGAGACGTGAAACGCTCATATGAAAAGAAAAGAGAAAAGGAATCAAATAAAAGAAAGACAGAAGGAGGAAGTTGAGAAAGAATGACAAAGAGAAAACAAGGCAAGAAAAGAGAGGCTGAAGCTGAGAAGGGTGTAAAGAATAAAGAGGGGGGTTTTAAAGCAAGAAAAATATTTGAGGAACACGAAAAAAAAAGAAGGGTGTAAATGAATAAGAAAGAAAGAAAAGAAAGAAAGAAAGAAAGAAAGAAAGAAAGAAAAAAGAAAATGTAGGAGCTAAAGAAACAGGCATATGGAAAAGGAGGCTAAGAAAGAAAGAAAGAAAGAAAGAAAGAAAGAAAAGAAAAAAAAAAAAAAGAAAGAAATGTAGGAGCTTAAAGAAACAAGCATATATGGAAGGAGGCTAAGAAAAGAAAGAAAAGAAAGAAAGAAAGAAAAGAAAGAAAGAAAGAAAAGAAATGAAAGAAAGAAAGAAATGCAGGAGGAAAGAAAAAAGCATATATGGAGAAGGAGACTAAGAAAGAAAGGAAGAAAGAAAGAAAGAAAGAAAGAAAGAAAGAAAGAAAAAGAAAGAAATGTAGGAGCTTAAAGAAACAAGCATATATGGAGAAGGAGGCTAAGAAAGAAAGAAAGAAAGAAAGAAAGAAAGAAAGAAAAAAGAAAGAAAGAAAAGAAAGAAAAAATGTAGGAGCTTAAAGAAACAAGCATATATGGAGAAGGAGATTAAGAAAGAAAGAAAGAAAAGAAAGAAAGAAAGAAAGAAAGAAAGGAAAGAAAGAAAAAGAAAGAAAGAAATGTAGGGAACTTAAAGAAACAAGCATATATGGAGAAGGAGGCTAAGAAAGAAAGAAAGAAAGAAAGAAAAAGAAAGAAAGAAAGAAAGAAAGAAAGAAAGGTAGGAACTTAAAGAAACAAGTATATATAGA